CGTCTCATTTGCGGATGTAGAGTCGTGGTTCCCTTCGTCTTGCGGGGCTTACGCGGTCTCCTCAATTATCCAGAACGAATCAGAAGATCAAGAAACGAGTTGAAATAAAGAGCCACGTCCAAGACGCGTCTCCCTTCTGAGGAGCACGCGTAACGATGTTTCGAGCCATTTGGGAATCACTGAGAAAGACGCAATACACGGCAGTGAGAAAAAGGGGTTGCTAAAGGCTGTCAAAAGCACGGATTTTCTTCGGATTTGTGAATCGAGACGGATCATTTCATAAAAGGCCTAGCATCTATAGATATAGTGAGAATTCGTTGGAGCCAGAGAGGTATTGGGACTTTGGTCGGGGTTTCAGCGCGCCATGAAGGCGGGAATTTCAAACTCTCCCAACTGGGGAGTGTAGTGTTCCGCGGGTTGTTGTCTTGGCGGCTGTGAAAAAAATAGTCGTGGGAATCAATTACTATGCGCAGTCCGCTGGTGCTCAGGTCTCAGGGCTTCCAGCACTAGTTAGCAGCTTATGACAAAAGTAGCTCGTCAACTTGTAGATTCGAGCTTGAGCATTAAAGGGTTCATCGGATATCATTCTAAGAGGTATGGAATTTTACACCAGAAAGTCTGAGCCAAAGAGGATGTAAGTAATACATATCTAACAACACCTTCACCATGGTGAGTATACCGCATTCATGTACTGACCTGCTTCCCAAGTAAAGACAAAGAATCAAAAGAGTATAGTATTATATCGAAATTGGAGGATGTGTTCGCTTCATAGGGGCTTGGTTACACATGGATCTTCGGCTCCATATTGTCGTTGATCATATCAGCCTGACTCGTATTGTAGAAGAGGGCAAAGCTTCGAGTTCATGTCTCCGATTCTAATACACAGAAAGTGTAAGGGTTTCTTCTTCGAGTAGATGCGGAAGTTCGCACCATTAGTTGATATGGACATGACGACCCAGTTGGACAGAGAAACGTGACCTCAATCCGATGAATGTGACATAGAGGAACCTGCCAGCCAAATCATCAGACGCGAATGAAAACGGGGATGATTAGTCTATTCACCCAGGAATAATAGTACGACGTTTATGTGTGTCTAAAGAGGTTCAAACGAGCGATAAGCAGCGTTGCCACTCAGGCGAAATTACATCGCAAACTGACGAGTAATCCTCGGGCCCTGGAGACTTGAAATGATTGTGCGTCAGTCCACCGCTGCAAAAGGACTGAAGAGCCAAGACCTACTGGAAAGGCATGCTTTAAAATTCAAGTTTGTCGAGGAGGTGGTGGTGGTCAGAAAGATAGAGGCTCAGCCTTGTACGTATGCAGCGGCAGCCACTGCTAAGGACAGCGAGCATGATCAATTCCCTGACGTCACCCTTGGCAGGAGATCCCACCACCCGTCCGGGCCGCCACCCCTCCTTTCTTCACCACCAAAAGCAATGCTTTGTTCCATATTCCTCGATATTAACCTAGAAACTTCGAATACATGCGTGCTGCCAGATTTATCGTTAAGCTATTATGACATTCTAAAGGAAGAACTCATCAACTCTATGGCAATACTCCGGCAAAGTTGGGGCCAACTTTAGAACAGGAACATATTCAGTTTCATTGGTTGTGAGAGGTTATGCATATGAACATTGATGCGGTTAAAGGTCTGTACGGGCTTTGACTTCGGGATAGACTGGAAACTCAATGAATACTTATTTATAGACCTCCTAATTTTGTCAGTAGCATGTTGACAGAAAGTGCACCCGGGGTTGCTAAGCACGCACAAGGCACAATGTGTCAACACCTCTTCCGATGGTATCAAAGAGCTCGCTGTTGGCAACGCAGAAATGCAAATACACCTTGAGGCTCGATGTTGAGAGCTGATGAGTGTCGTAGTTGGATGGCTCCTGGCGGATTCAAATCCTCCAATCATGATTCATGATTATGATTTCAGCGCATGAACATTTTGATTTACTGATACCACGGGGCTGGTTACGTGTGATTATGTGTCCCATTCCCATGGACATGGATACCGCTAACTTTCGCGAGTCGCTCCATCTTCCCTTCTTCGTGAGTCGTTCGTCTTGTTTCTTCGTATATGGCTTATTGTTCAATTATGATATATTGGCAGCTGTCCGGTGGGCAACAATATTACAAATGCTTTAAGCCACAACTGAGTCTATGACTGTCTCCGTCAAAAATCTCCTGTTGAATACCAAATGTATATTCATTCAACCAGATCAAGGATGGTGGGATGATGTGCGAGTCGCGGACCTGCGCCATCCTGTTGGATTCGTTTTTCTGGAATACCCCGATAATCGTAGATTGGTAACCAACTGCCAGTGGAGTCGTTCCAACGGTAACTACTGATACCACGCTGTCGGATCGTCTAATTATGTATCCCCTGTGTTGTGTCTATTTTCAGAAACAAACATCAGCAGTACATACGCATAAAAGCCTCTCCTCCCCTACCACGACTCTTACCCTCTCCTTCACCCTCCTTCTCTCGTAGTTCACTTGTCTCGCCCAGGACCGGTTCCTTTCTCTTTCTTTCAGAATAAGCACCGTGTGTTCACTCGACTTTCTTTTTCCAATTCACCGACACTCTCTTCACTTCTTCACTCCCTCAACTTCATATCCGAAATGATCTCGAAGATCTGGATGTCTGCCACTTTCGTCCTTGCCCTTTCGGCACAGGTATATGGACACGCAGCGATAGCCCCAGCTCTCGGTGTTGCTGGTACTCCTGTCCGAAACGACGTTGAGCGCCCGTCTACTGCTAACCCGTGCGGTAGTGGTGTGAATATTGCTTCCACCATCGATTCATCAACGGCCGTTGCTGCTGCTGCTGATGGCTCTTTCACAACCACAGTAACGAACTTCAATGGGTGTGTAGCTTCCTTGTCATCACTCAGGACATCTTACTCATCTTCGGACTCATAGTGGTGCTGATGGATCTCGTAAGGTGACTGCCCAAGTTGATGCAACTGGCGCTGGAACCAAGTTTGTCGCTGCGACTGTAACCACGAACGGTGACGCCGTAAGCTTTATCTTGTATCATTGCCTTTTTATGATATTGATACCTTGCGAAATAGGCACCTGCAGCCGTTGGATCACAAAAGATTGTCGCTTCCCTGCCTGCAGGCACCAAATGTACTGGAGGAGCCACCGGAAATAAGTGCCTTGTGGTACGTGTCTTTGTTGGCAGATTTTTACTTATCGTCTAACACACATTCCAGTCATTCAAGACAACAGCTGGCTTCGGTAACTGCGTGGTCGTGAGCCAAGGAGCCGCTGCTGCTGCTGGCAATGCCGGTGCCGCGACTGGTGCTGCTGCTGGTGCCGCGACTGGTGCTGCTGCTGGTGCCGCTGCTGGTGCTGCGACAGGTGCTGCTGCTGGTGCCGCAACTGGTGCTGCCGCCGGTACTGCCGCCGGTGCTACCACTGCTACAGGCAAAGGACGTGGACGCGTAAGTCGCTATTCTCATCGTCAAGAATAACACTCATCAACGCTCAAATAGGGCCGCAATGGAAAGAAAGCTGCTGCCGCCGCTGCTGCTGTACGTTAAACTCATTATTCATCCTTGTTCATTGTTCTAATTTTGTTCGTTTGCAGGGAACCCGTGCTGCCCGTGCTCTTCTCGCAGAGATTGAATCTCGTGGCGAGGAGGCAGTCCATGCGGCCAAGCGCAGCCTCACGAGCTGGCTGTGGGCGTGAAAATACTTCAGAAGAGTTGGAATTAGATTATTAGCGACATGGTTTCTTAATTCTTCCTGGCTATAGTTTTTATTTAGTCATTTTACCGCATCGAATGTGGAGAACCGGAACACGAGACATTTGACTGGAATTATGTTGGAATTCTCTGAGTCGTAAAATGTTTCCTACTTCGAGCACGTATGTTTTGCAAATTGTACTAGGTTATGCGACTAACTCTCTGCAACGTGTTCTAAAAATAGCCATGATACTCCTGATCATGGAAATACACGAGTAACGTTGAAGATTTAGGAAACTCTCCGCTATTCATGCTTACTGACATCCTGTCATGTCAGTTTTATCCATTACACGTGTCTTTAAGAGAGTGTATTATATACAGACAATAGTCCATTTTTAATAGGCCTATTCTAAGAATCCGTCATCTTTAACTTGATAAACTTAGCGCGCACTGATCCATATATTTCATACCGACAGAACAACTGGATGAGAAAATACGTGCAGGGCTTAGAGTTACTTTAGGATAGATGGTAAATATATACAATACGTAGTAGCTACAGAACAAAAGCTATTCTGTGGTCCATTTTAATAAGAATGGGGTGCGCATTGGGTTGAAGGAGTCAAACTATCATTTGTTCTAGGCTCAAATTAAGAGGCATCTACACATAGTAACGAAATAACCTAAGCTACCACTAGCCACCAATACTTAAAATACAGCACTTCAGTAACGCTGCCATTTCTAGCGAGGGTCATGCAGGTACTTTGTAGGATCTGCCGTTGGTCAAAGAATACCGGGCTCAGGACCTCCATTGACATTGCCCACCAATAGCCTTGTACCAGCTTTTATGCATGTTTTGTGTGAATAAAGGACTAAAAATGAGGGATACAATGTATAAAATGATTTAGTAGCAGCTTTCAGAACAAGAAATATTCGTGCATTGGGAGGGGATCCACCCTTCGATCGATGAGTCTTAAAATTTACACTTGTAAACGACTGCTAATTAGAAGTGCTGGATTACGCCTCCTCAACCTATGCCTTGGCATACACTGTTCACTGCTGCATGATGAAGAATATAGCACAGCAGCAGCACGAAAAAAAAACCTTTTCTGCAAGGGTATGCGCTGTGAAGATCGCACCTTCTACCTGTGAGTGTTGACATTGATAATATACCACTAAGAAGTGGGCTCCCACTGCTACCCCACCAGCGCTCGTATATATCTTTCAATTCTCCTCTATTATGGAGAAAAGGAAATAAATAGGAAAAAGTGTATTTTATAATGAACCAATGTCCAAATACCCCTATGCACTAGGGAGGACTCGAACTTCCGTCAGACCTCCTGGAGACCTAGATCAATCATCTCATATACATTTCATACTTGTAACAATTGTTAGCATATGGGCTACCGTTACCCCACCAGTGCTTAGAACCAACAGAATAAACGATGAGAAACTGACTATGTATGAATTAAAAATTCTTGGGTGATCCCTGTTACTGAGTGGGCTGGGAAAGGTTCGAACCTCCACTTGGTGATTTATTTAAATGAGGGTACCTCGCGATGAAGTCCATCTAGGATACCACTACCCCAACAGCCCTTGAAAGAATAGATATATGCGCGCTGTTTGCCTTGAAAGTAAAGCGGATAAACATATCTGATATTATCCGCGGGTAGGGAATAAAACAATGGATGCACAGACTGGGATACCTAGGTGATGCGTTCAACAACAACGGTATTCCGCAAACCCGACCCCCTGAGTGTTAAATCTGCATACAACATTCCCGTTCATCTTTACCAGCGATACATGTTCGCCACACGCACCATCGGAAGCAGCTCACGGAAGGATTACGCGGAGGAGAACAATGCCGACGAAGGATCGTTACCGGTCGTCATTGGGTACGTAGATAGGAAGTCAAGAATAGAGACACGCCTGTAAGACTTTCAACTCCGTCTATGAGAAGGATCAAAAGCCCGGAGCAGCCATAATGATAGCTTTCGTCCCCGAGCCGAGAGAGCGAACGTGAGTTAAGTAAAGTAATTTGAGTAAGGCCCGGAAGTAAAGGTGAATACCTGCTGAGTAGGGAGGAATCAAATAGACTTGATCTATGTATATCTTGCCAGCAAAAGCCTCCTTTCCGGGCTGCTCGTTCGCCAGCACTGGAATTAGACGTTGATTATAAATAGTTATACATAAGAGAGCGCAGGGCCGCGGACTGAGATTTGAGTAAGGCAGAGCCATGGAGGTAATGGGGAACGTGCATTGCCGGAGTGGAAGGTGGGTAATGGCAGCAGACTGGCGATGGCAGTGGTAGAAGAAGGGCGAGTAGTTGAGGATCGGCGTTTAGTGACCGTTGGCGTTGAGCCTGAGCATGGTGCTAAAATTGAAGTTTCCCAAGACGGCATTCATCTTACCGAAGATGGGTCTCGGCAGTGTCGACCCTATCTGTTTGTCGAGCCTGCAAAGGTGAGATCTTGCAAAGAAGGTAGAGCGCAGAATTCAACCTTCCTAGCGCTGGTATTGGGGAGTCTATGAACATTGAGGACGGTCAAAGACACCCGCCGGCGGTGGGAAGGTGGTGGTTTGTGGTGCGGCATATCCGAGTTGTCCAAAGTGAAACAGTGATGAAGGCAAGAGAAGATCTACTTATCGCACTGCCTATATGGAGGCAATAGGAAATACTTCAACCATGACGGTTTTGCTGACGGTGAACAAGCACGCCTGGGCATCGAGATAGGGCCATATAACCTATGCGGTTGAGGAGTGGCTCCGCTCTCTTTGTGCAGATTACTATGAGATACCAAGATATATGGACGAGGAGGGACTTTTTCAACTTTTAGTACTTCGTTGTGGCCGAAAAGAACATCCCAGCGGTGCCCGCGCTGGCCAGATAACCGTTCACTAAAATAGAAGCCATCGCGACGCGAGCAAGGTCGCGAGCTTGAAACGATTTGACACGCATGATGAACAGGCTCGAACAGGAGAAGATGGACACGTCCTTGTTGCCACATAAGCTGTCTTGCAATTGCGCACAAGCTTTCATACAATAGGACGCAAATCGTGTTCAGTAACAGTTAGGTCCGACTAGCAGATGAGAAAAATTCGATGGCATTTCGGCCACACTGGCTTCTCACTAGGCACAGCCAGCACGTAGAGAATGAGAATTGAGGAGGTGGCAGAGAGGATTGCGGGAGCGGGCGGTACAGAAGTCGCTGATCTGAGCAGGGAGGCGGTGCCGCAAGCGCTGATATGAAATATCATGTTTTGACGTGTTTGCTCCCCTAGACCCAATATCAGTTCTGCTAAAAATCGGCTCTTCATCTTTCTCTTCAATTTACAAGTACTTCATCCTCTCCGTTCTCTAACGCGTCTTTCTCTTCTCCCTTACGTCTACTACTCCGTGCGTCATCCAGAACAGCATTCAGAACACTTACTGATCTAGTGGATTCTATCTAGGAGCCCCATACCCCTGCTACTATATCATGTGCGGAATCTTTGGCTACTGCAGTTTTTTGAAGGAGAAGGTTTGTCCTTTTCTTACTTTTCACGACGGATAATACATTTTTGCGAGGGTTGGAACGATTCGGATGGGTTAGAAGTCATCGGGGCAATCGTTGTGCCCAGCGACTGATAGGAGCTCCACCCGAGGAGGGGCGTGTAACAGGCATCTGGTGCCTATGGGCAGTTGCGTGTCGAAAGACTGACGATGGCATTATCCTGTGTCGGTGATGACGTACGACCGCGTAGCTGACGAGTGTTTCCCCAACAGCGTCGCCAAGAGGTCCTCGAGGTTCTTTGCGCTGGTCTCGCTCGTCAGGAATACCGCGGATACGACTCCGCTGGACTCTGCATTGACGGCGACAAGCCTGGTCAGCCACTCTACTTCAAAGAAGTCGGAAAGGTCGCTGGTCTTCGCAAGAAGATCGCTTCCTCATCCGTCGACGTTGAGAAGACTTTCGTCTCCCAGGTCTCCATTGCCCATACCCGATGGGCCACCCACGGACCGCCTTCCGAGATCAACTGCCATCCCGTCCGCTCAGATCCTCAATCCAACTTTGTCATAGTTCACAACGGTATCGTGACCAACAGCGCTGAGCTCAGGCTCGTTCTCCAAAAACGTGGATACAAGTTCGAGACGGAGACCGATACCGAGGCCGTTGCGATCCTCACCAAGTATATCTACGATACCCACAGCGACAAGAATATCACCTTCACTGACCTTGTCAAAGCTGTCCTCAAGGAGCTCGAGGGTTCTTTCGCCTTCGTTTTCAAGTCTTTGCACTACCCCAACGAAGTCGTCACTGCTCGTCGCGGTTCTCCTCTTCTCATTGGTGTGAAGACCGACAAGAAGCTCAAGGTTGATTTCGTCGATGTCGAATTCGCAGGACAGGACAGTGACAAGAGGGTAGATACCCGTGAGTTTTCTTTTTCCAGATTTTTTGTCCATTTTCCAGGATCCTGAGGCAACTTCTACAGTCTCCCCCACCTCCCCGACCATGCTCTCCGTTCCCACCGTCAATCCCAAAGTCCTCCGTACACAATCTCGTGCATTTATGTCTGAAGATGGTCTCCCCCAACCCATCGAATTCTTCATCGCCTCTGACGCTGCCGCCATCGTCGAGCACACCAAGCGTGTTCTTTACCTCGAAGACGACGACATTGCCCACATCGCTGAAGGCGAGCTCCACATCCACCGTCTCCGCCGTAAAGAAGACGGCGACCAATCCCCTAGCCAAATCGCCACCACCCGTAGCATTGAGACCCTCGAGCTCGAGATCGCCGCCATCATGAAAGGGAAATTCGACACCTTCATGCAGAAGGAGATCTACGAGCAGCCCGAATCCGTCGTCAATACCATGCGTGGACGCGTTAACTTTGACGAGAACAAGATCACTCTCGGCGGTCTTCGCGCGTACCTCCCCATCATCCGCCGTGGCCGCCGTATCGTGTTCATCGCGTGCGGAACGAGCTACCACTCGTGCATTGCCACACGCGCGATCTTCGAGGAGCTCACTGAGATCCCTGTGAGCGTTGAGCTTGCCAGTGACTTTTTGGATCGCAAGACTCCCATTTTCAGAGATGATATTTGCGTGTTCCTGAGTCAGAGTGGTGAGACTGCGGATACGATTTTGGCGTTGAGGTATTGCCTAGAGCGAGGTGCACTTTGTGTGGGTGTGATCAACACTGTTGGATCTACGCTCTCCCGCGAGACGCACTGCGGTATCCATATCAATGCTGGACCTGAAGTTGGTGTTGCTTCCACTAAGGTGTGTTCAGAGTTTTGAATTGTGGGTATGTACATCTGACTAAAAGGATTATAGGCTTACACCTCGCAATACGTTGCTCTATTGATGATGGCTCTGCAGCTCTCTGAGGACCGCATCTCCTTCACTGAGCGCAGGAACCAGATCATCGCCGGTCTGCACGCGCTTCCCGCACAGATCAAGAAGATTCTCGAGCTTGACAGCACCCTCCAACAGCTCGCCGCTACCGTGTCGGATAACAAGAGTTTGTTGCTCATGGGAAGAGGATACCAGTACGCATCTTTTAGTCTTTCGCCTTAAACGCCTGCTAACCCACCTCCCCGTTCAGATACGCTACCTGCCTCGAAGGTGCGCTCAAAATCAAGGAAATCAGTTACATGCACTCAGAGGGTATCCTCGCCGGTGAACTCAAGCATGGCCCCCTTGCCCTCATCGATGAGAACATGCCCGTCATCATCATTATGACCCAGGACTCGCTCTACCCTAAGGTCCAGTCTGCCTTTGCCCAGATCACCGCCCGTAAGGCGCAGCCCATCGTCCTCTGCAATGAAGGCGATGAGGGTATCCCGTCGGGTGCTAAGACCATCCGCGTGCCCAAGACCGTCGACTGCCTCCAGGGTCTCCTCAACATCATCCCCCTCCAACTACTCAGCTACCACTTGGCGGTTAAGAACGGATGCGATGTTGATTTCCCTAGGAACTTGTTAGTACCTTCTCGTCTTCTCAACACTTTATAGATTTGCTAACATCCATCGTTTCGTTAATAGGGCCAAGTCTGTCACCGTCGAGTAAAGGAATGGACAATGTTGCATTTTCAAAAGTTTTGTTAAGCTTTCATGGACTTGAAAAAAATAGTGTACTTTTACAACTTTTTTACGGACTCGAATTTGCCACCTTTGTTACTTGATGAAATGGACAGTTAGATACAGTATATCCTTCAGATTGCGGGTTTTGTCGCGTCGTATTACTACAGAATCAATACTGTGGAATTCTCTTTGTTACTCGCGTTTTGCCGACTTTAAATCATTAAGCAGACCGTTTGTAAGGGTGAAGCGAACGATCAACTTTTTTCATTACACCTTCAAGCTCTTTAATAGGTTCTAGCTCGTCCGTTTCGGAAGTTCATGCTCGATCCGCAGCTGCCTGCAAGTCTGGATCAACGGTATGCTGAATTTAGCACTGCACGTTGCGATACACCAGCCTCGTTTACCCAATATTAAATCTATATTCAATCGCTCAGCAACGCTGAGAAAAACATACCGCCTCGCCCGGACATGCATGCCGTCATGGACATTTGACAGATTCGATGGAAGCAAAATCCAGACGTCAGTACGT